GCCTCTCTTCCCTAGACTCGGCCCCATGTCTGCATAAGTCCGCTGATACGGTCCTGTACCCCACTTGAGTCTCTTTCAGAGCGGTAGATGGGTGTGGTTGGTGGTAGGCTGGGTGGGTGGGGGCCTTTTGGTGTCTGATCCCAGAGGTCATGTTGGAAGAAGGCGGAGACGTCTCTAAGTCTGGGTCAGGAAGGGACTAACCTGGATTTGGGGGTTGTGTTTGCGGCGCTAGAATGGGAAGCACGATGAGGCCTGGATGGTGCTGAAGCAAGTTCACGACACCAACATGCGAGCCAAGGGGCATCCTGAGCGAGTGTTCTCAGTAAGCCACAGCCCTCCCCACTCGCACCTCCATGTCTCCGCAGCCCTAGCCCCTCCACCCGTCTCCTGTCAGCAGACCCACTCCCGTTTCCCCAGACAGCTCAGATCACGCTCTCCCTCAGTGCTTTTCTTTGGCCAGCCTACCTGTCCCGTGCCCTATTTCCCCGCCACCTGAAAAAGGAGGCACCTGGAAGACGGGGCAATACAGACTGGATGCGTGGTGGCTTGTTCTCTTAACTCCAGGTAACCCACATTAAGACAATTCATCAGGAAGACGAGCTGATTGAGATCCAGTCAGACACAGGAACCTGGTACCAGCGCTGGGGAGTCCGGGCCTTGAGTTTGGGAGGGCAGGTAATGAGGGATTAGATAATGGGGAGGAAGTAGGGAGGTGAAGAGAAAGGAGTGGGCGAGCTGCAGAGGAGGGTAGACTTTGAGCCTATGAAGTGGTGGGTGAACTGAAGGGAGGTGGTAAGGCAGCAAAAACAGATCTGTGGGTGCGACAAAGGAACACTGTTGCAAGCTAACCTTGTTCTGGCCCGCCTAGGTTTGGGGGAACTTTCTCTCCTGTTTTGGTCCAGAATATCGACGCATCACCCTGATGATGATGGGTGTGTGGTTCACCATGTCGTTCAGGTGAGGGGGGCAGGCGGTTTGGGAGGATGTGGCCTTGTGGTGGTGCCTGGGCTGGGAGAATGGTGGAGAAAGTGGAAATGGAGGAGGAGGATCACAGGCGGAGGGGACCATTGATACCATTTCGGATCAGGCTATTCAACCAACTTGTCTAGTGGTGGACCAGTACGGAGCGCCTGCTCTGTGCCAGGCTTGTGCTGGTATGAAGCAGACGTGGTCCCAGCCCTCACCGAGCTCCCATTTTGCTCGTCAGGACGTTGATAAGTGTCGCGATGGACGGAGGACAGGTGCTCTGAGAGACCGTAGGAGGGCTTCCAGTTGCAGGTGTGGGGCCGGGACCAAAGCCCTGCAGGATACCTGGGAGCTGGACAGGCCAGGGGTAGAGCTCGGAGCGTGTTTCAGGCAGGGGGAGAAGCAAATACCGGGAAGCACACAAGAGGCCGTCGGGTGGTGGCGCAGCATCTGGCGCTCACCACAACCGGAGCAACCGCTGAAGGGAGGATTGGGGCACCGAGGCCGGAGGAGCAAGGTCATGGCTGGCTGACTTCTATTTCACCTGGCCTTCCCCGAACCCCGTTGAGTTCTTTTGCCCTTGACTCTCCAGCTACTACGGCCTGACCGTCTGGTTTCCGGACATGATCCGCCATCTCCAGGCGGTAGATTACGCCTCCCGCACCAAAGTGTTCACGGGGGAGCGCGTGGAGCACGTGACTTTTAACTTCACGCTGGAGAATCAGATCCACCGAGGGGGGCAGTACTTCAATGACAAGTATGTGGGGCCCTTTCAACGCTACCCCTCCCCGCTGTCTCCTTTGGGGCCCTTGGGGGGAAGTACCCGTGGTTTCCCCGCCAGGCCGCAGCGCCCGACTGCACCCACCGGGGCGAGTGGGCGAGGAGGGCTTGGGGGTCGCCCATCGCCCATCGCCCGGCCCGCAGGTTCATCGGGCTGCGCCTGAAGGCGGTGTCCTTCGAGGATTCCCTGTTTGAGGAGTGTTATTTCGAGGACGTCACATCCAGCAACACGTTTTTCCGGAACTGCACGTTCATCAACACCGTGTTCTACAACACGGGTAAGGTGCAGTGGCCCGGGGAGGTCAGCTGGGCGGGCTGGGTGGGCCTTGAGGAGAGAGAGGAGGACGTCCTCCCTCAGGAGCACCGGGCTCTCAGCCTGGCATCCCGGGACCCCCGAGGACAGGTGACACGGGGGCCTGCACGCTCCACGCAGTCATTCTGAGCATCTTGCGGAAATGGAACATCTGCGGCAGCCGCCATAGCTGACACCCAGACACCCAGTTTCTAGCCTTCGGCCGGAATGATAACTCGGCGTGGTCACATGAATGTGCTCTCAAAGAGGGCAGAACCCGGCACAGCAGAATCCTTGGGGAAAAGAAAACCAGTGAAAGAAGTATTTGTTGGGAGAAGGGTGGCAGTCAACCCGTTCCTCTAGCAGCGATTCCCAAGCTATGTGCACGTGAAGTGTGTTGTGAGTTAGACCGAGGTGTCTCACCTCTCGGGGGAGTACCAGGTGAGTTTTTCCCACCTTAAGGGGGAGAAAAAGTGAATAGGATTTCTAAAGTTGCTTTTCGTATTTTCCCCAAACGCTTCTTAAATTTATGGCAACGACCGTTGCCAGTTGTCGGCTAGGAGGGACAAAAGGAATGAATAAGAAGCAAGGACTATCTAGTGGGGACACGGTGCGAGACGAGCCGGTTCCACTTCTACTGTAAAGATTCCTAGTTCCCGGGGTGATACTGACTTTCGCAAGGTCTGCTCCGGCTGGTTTTGAGCGCCCCCCGCGGCACCCGCTCCGCAGAGGCAGAGCTGTAAGCAGTGGCCGCCGCCTGTCTCCGCGGTGACTGCTGCTCTCTTGGCCTTCCTCCCAGACCTGTTTGAGTACAAGTTTGTGAACAGCCGGCTGGTGAACAGCACGTTCCTGCACAGCAAGGAGGGCTGCCCGCTCGATGTAACAGGGACTGGTGAGGGGGCCTATATGGTGTACTTCGTCAGCTTCTTGGGGACCCTGGCTGTGCTTCCTGGGAATATTGTTTCCGCCCTGCTGATGGACAAGATTGGAAGACTGCGCATGCTCGGTACAGGGAGAAAGGCGGTTGGGTGGGGTGGTGGGGTGGTGGTACAGAATTGATTGGTGACCTGAGAGTGTGGGAAGACAGTCGACAGGCTTCTCACTTTGGACTGTGGGAGAACTTAGCCAGGGAACGTTCTGTCATGTCTTCTGTTTTGGGGGTGGGGTGGGATTGTAGGGTGGAGTGGTGCCTGGTATGGAAGCTTCTTTGGGGCGTAGGCAGAATAGCAAGTGGTTAAGGTTACAGTCTTCCATGCCCTAGGTTTTGAATCTCAACGCCTCCACTTGACCATTGACTTTGGGCAAGCCATTTGACCTAGGCGAGCCTCCGTTGTCTTCTCTGCCAAGTGGGGGTGATGCTAGTGTCTGCATTACAGAGTGGATGCCTGAAATCAAGGCATGTAAAAGATCAAGTGGCTAGGAAAGGACTATTACAGGTGCTACGAATAAAAAGCAAGCTGGTAAGGGAGGCTGGATGAAAAGCGTTCCTAGTGGTTATGGCGGGAAAGGAGCAGGGGGCGCGGTAATATGTTCGGCTGCCACCCTCAGTATTTTGAGATCATGAGTCACCGTGTGGGAGAAAGACCAGGCTTTCTGCTCCTGTGGAAACCAACAGGAGCAGTCCGAGCCGGTTCTCTGGGGTCATTATGAACCCGAATGGACTTGATGGGGGAGAGTTTGGTATTTTCTGACCTTGGGAGAATGAGTCTGACCCTGGGCTGCCCTCAGCGTTAACTGGTGGGACAAAATGGGTGGCACCTGGGCTTCACTGTGGCCATGCTCACCACGCTCACTCCTGTCCCGGCCCCAGCTGGCTCCAGCGTGATGTCCTGCGTGTCCTGCTTCTTCCTGTCTTTTGGGAACAGCGAGTCAGCCATGATCGCTCTGCTCTGCCTTTTCGGAGGGGTCAGCATTGCATCTTGGAACGCGCTGGACGTGTTGACTGTCGAACTCTACCCCTCGGACAAGAGGTAGTTGGAATGTGCCAGGGCGGGCCGGGCCAGGCAGGGTTAGGGCCTGGGGGTGGGGGAGGCCAGGAAAGAGCTTCTGAATGGGAAGAACATCTTTAGGAGGCCAAGAGGATACCGATGTGTTTCCTTTTTCAAAGTTGGCTGCTTTTGTATTTGTTCCACGAAGAATTCATTATTAACCTCGTCCTTTGATCTCTCCCCCCACCCCTCAATTTATTTACATTTCCGGGGTACCTCCCTCACCTCTCGGATCTCTCTCTACCCTTCTCATCATGTGTACCCTCCTGACCATCCCGTGCTGACTCTGCTCCCTGGCCCGGGCTGGGCTCCTCTGCTGTGCTGGGGCTTCCTGAGCAGGACCACGGCCTTCGGCTTCCTGAACGCCCTGTGCAAGCTGGCAGCTGTGCTGGGAATCAGCATCTTCACATCCTTTGTGGGAATCACCAAGGCCGCCCCCATCCTCTTTGCCTCGGCTGCTCTTGCCCTTGGCAGTTCTCTAGCCCTGAAACTGCCCGAGACCCGGGGGCAGGTGCTGCAGTGAGGAGGTCTCCGGGGCTTCCGGGGGTGGCAGGCACACTGTGAGACCAACAGCTCCTCTTTCCCCTGCCCTGCCATCCTGGCCCCTAGAGCCCTTACCCCACACCCCAACTCCCTGTGTTTGGTGTCTTAGCTGTGTGTGTGTGTGCGCGTGTGCATGTGTGTGACCCTCATGGGCAGGGACTATAGGAAGGCTCCTTCAACCCAGTTTGGGGATGGAGCCCTATTCCCCACCCTTGACTTTGCACAAGAGGCTTGGTCCTGCCCTTCACCCCCCAGTGTTATTGAGGGGCCCCTGCTCTTCCCTGTTCCAGGGGCCCCACAAAAGGCTTCCTGCTCCTTTCCTAGGCTCCGGCTGCCTGACAAGAAAAGCAAAAGGCCCCGGAGAAACCCTGGGGTGTGTGGTTATGCCGGGGTTGGGGCTTGGCACGGACCATGGACCAAAAGAACTTCTTAAGCATTGGACGGGCCTTGGGTGTGCCCTCTCACACCTCCCATTGGACGCTGGGGGAGTAGCAATAAACCTTAGCCCCCTGGCCTCCACATCCCCCTCAATTTGGGCTCCAGTTATGAACCCTAAATCTACTGAAGTCAGCTCTTATTTATTTATATCTCGAGTTCTGAGGCAGCTCAGCAGGACTGTGTGTGTGTGAATGTGTGTGCCTGTGTGTGTGCGCGCCGTGGGGAGGGGGTGTCATTATGTTGTCCCAAAACGTAAGCCAAGGTAATTTCAATGGACACACACACAACCCTGCCTCCCACAGTACCTCTCTTTATCTTGTTTCTGTATGGGGCCCCCGGCGGATGAGCCCTAGGTGGGTCCGGGATGACAGTCCCGTCGTCTAGGGAGACCCAAGGCCACTGGACAAGATCCAACTCTCTCCTTCCCCTCTAGAAACAGGCCTCCTCTAGAGTGAGCAGCTCCACGCACAACAGCACAGACTGGAACCACACAGCTACCCTCCGGTCCTGAGGCCGCAGGTGTGCGGGAAGGAAGGCACCGGACAGGCCAAACCAGCAGAGCAAAAAGCACAAGGAGCTGGGGCAGGGGCAAGATGCAGGGGCCCTCTTGGCAGCTCTTCGAAAGTGGGAAGAGTTTGGGTAGGGAGAGACCCCGGATGCAGGGACCAGAAGCCTGTTTCCCTATCTTGCCCTTCCACACAACAGCCCTGCAGGTTAAGCCGTCGCCCACCCCACCCCACCCCACCCTTCCTCTCTGGCTGCTTTCTCCGGTGCCCTCCTCACTGTAGCTGTGATGTGTTGTAGTTGTTAGCTGTTTGTAAAATGTTACCAAGAAGTGAAAAGGAAAAAAGTGAAAAACAACAAAAAAGAAATCCCAAAGTCACTCTCCTGCTGTTGTGTCTGGTGCCCCCCTCCCCACTCCCGCGGCTGCTCTCCCCATTTTGTGACACTGAACCAGGTGGTGACTGTTGGATTCTGTGGTGTCTGTGCTCCAAGGACTGCCTTCTCCTACAGTGCCCAGTGTTGGAGTGTGAACCCTCTGCCCTCCCCCTCCACCTGCTGGACGCAGCCCTCGACCCTGCACCCCTGGGAGAGACCCATCCTTCTCCCTTGCTCTCCTCGGGAACCCTAAATCCAACTCTGTTGATGTGAAAAACAAAAAAACCATGAAATGGAAAATGATGAAAAATAAAAAGGAAACAACTCCATAAAAATCTCAAGTGGCTATGTCTGCTTCTTGGCCTCTGGACCCAGATCCAACTCTGCCTGCCTCCTGACAGTCCCAGGAGAGGAAACCAGCGAGGAGGAAAAACTGTGGCCAGGATGACATCTGGCGTCATATTGCTTCCTCAATTGGCCTCTCTACTTGACCTTCCCACTTCTACAGATGGAAGGTCCTCTACATCGCTCAGACCGGAAAACCTGAAATATTCGAGAGCCACTTTTCCCAACACTCTAACATGGTTGGGAAATACAGATTCCCCAGAAATAAAATGATAGAATGTAGATTCCATACTCCATGCTTGACATGTTGAGTTGGAATTCATTTGGGGGCCCGTGCATGTAGAGCTAGAATACACATTTTAAACAAGTTCTTTGGGGATTTTTTTTTTTTTTCCATGAGGAAAAGGGGCCTTGGTGACAGAGCGGGTGACTCTACATTGGATTGCAAAGCCTGCAGCTGGAGCCCACGAGCTGATCTGAGGGAGAATGAGGAGGCTTTCGGCTAAATATGCACAGCCTCGGAAGCCCCCAGGGGGAGTTCTGCTCTGTCCTATAGGGTCACCATGAGTCAGAACTGACCCTCGAGCAGTGAGTTTGGTTTGTAGAGAGTTGATGTGAGGAGATCTGAAAGCCACTGCCTGGCGTAGTTTCCCTTAACTTCCTCACTCATCCATTTGGTTTAATCAAGGTGGTTTCTGATTTCGTTATGGTAGCTCTTTGTTATCAACCTAAAACAACTTTTTTATTGGGATTTAGGCAGTTTATAGTTTATCAACAATTCAATTTATAGATGGTTTATTTCAACTTATCCACTGCAATCCCCTCCATGTGCCGTCACTTGGCCCACTTCCTCCGTCTTCTGTTTCCATCCCTTCTTTCCTGATGTGAACTTTGTCCAGGGTACCCATTTGGCCTTAAACGATTGATTAGTCTAGTGTAGAAGCGAGTTCGGTTAGAGACCCCAAGGGTGTCTAAGGGCCATAGTATTGGGGGGTCTGGGCACCAGTCTGTCTAGCCAGCAAGCCTGATCTCTTATGATTTTGAGTTATGTTCCAAGTTTATTTTCTCTCCCACTCTATCAAGGCCCTTCTAATGGGACCTTTCCTGAGCAGTTGGTGGTGATAACTGAGCACCATCTATTTCTCTTTGACTCAGGGCTGTAGAGACTGTGTGGCCCATTAGTCCACTGGACGAATCCTTTCCATTGTCTTTCCATTTTCATCACTCTTCTTTTCTCTGGAGAGCTGAGAAGGGGTGAGGGGCGGGGGGGTGTAGGGCATCTAATATTTGCACCTTAGCTGGCTGCTCATGAACTATGTTGCTACCCACCAGAACAGGACGTCAATCCTTGTCTTTGTGAACTATATTGCGCCAATTGACTTTGGCGTCTCCTTTAACTGTGGTCCTGAACCCCCAGGTCTAGTGATTCATTCCCTAAATCAACTCTTTTCCATTCTGTTAGTTGACTCTGGACTCAAGACTCTTAGCCACTCACTCTAGGTTGATCTCCTGGCATTCACGGTGCTTAGCTACCACTACCAACTTTGATGGTCCGTGGGTGAGGCATCCAACCGCAAGGTTGGTGGTCCAAATCCACTAACCACTCCGTGGAAGTAAAGGTGAGGCTGTTTGCTTCCATAAGGATTTCCAGTTTTGGAAACGCTAAATAGGGTCAAGGTAAGTTGGCATTCACTTGACAGCAGTGGGTTTGGTTTTTGGTTTAGTCCACTGACACACTGCCAGGTCAATCTGCCCCAAAACATCCTTTGGCATCCCCTTCCTCAAAAATCTCCAGTGGTTCCTTCTTACTACCCAATCAGATGCAGTTTGAGCGCTTTAGCCAGAAATGCTCAAAATGTTAAATCAAGCATTTTTTCCCTCTAGCATTTAAATATTCTTCTACATAATCCCACTGCCATTGAGTCAACTCCAACTCCTAGTGAACCTACACAGGGTTTCTGAGGCGGCAAATCTTTATGAGAGCAGCTAGTCTCTTTCTTCCCAGCTGATGGGTTTAAACCAGCAACCTTGAGGTTAGCAGCCCAAGGCTCTTTACTTTCATAGAGATGATCAGAAAGAAAATTGCTCATTTAAGCATTATATGAACTGCCCTCAAAAATACAATTGCAGGCGGGGTAAAGATGGGGGCTGTCAACCAACCCAAGGACCAGGAAACAACAAATGATCTAAAATCGATGGTGAAGATGGCATAGGATGCCTGGGGGATTTGATCAAGGGCAATGTAGCTGAGAGGAATTACTGAAACCCGAATGAAGGCTGAACATGATAGTGGAAAGTAAACAGAAATAGAGGAAAGAACTAGGAGTTAAAGGGCATTTATAGAGGTCCAAATACAGGCATGTGCATAAGCAAATAAATTTGCCACCTATATTCATGTATAAGCCGAGTTTTTCAGCACACTCCCCACCACCACCACCTTGGGGGTTAGATTTTTTTTATTATTTTCTTTTCTCTTTCTTCTTCTTCTTTTCTTTCATTTTATTGGGGCTCTTACAACTCTTGTTACAAACCATACATATATCTTGTATCTGACATATTCATATATATATATATATATATATATATATATATATATATATATATTTCATCGTTCTTTTCTAGACATTTACTTTCCATTGAGCTCTTGGGATGAGCTCCTCCTTTTTTCCCTCCCTCCTCCCCCACCTGTTTCAGCACATTTTAAATGCACTTTTTGTGGTAAAATTATATTCCTTGGCTGATACTTGGGTCAGCTTATACTCGAGTATATACAGTGTGTATATATGATAGGGAAATAGATCTATGTACATATATTTATATGTTAAGTATTGAGGTAGCAGGCAGACATTGGGCCTCTACTCAAGTACTCCCTCAACGCAAGAACACTTTGTTCTAATAACCTGACATTCCGTGATGCTCACCTACCCAACATGATTGCTGAAGACAAAATGGGTGCATAAGCAAATGTAGTGAAGAAAGCTGATGGTGCCCGACTATCAAAAGATAAAGCATCTGGAATTTTAAAGGCTTGAAGATAAACAAGTGGCCATCTAGCTGAGAAGCAACAAAGTCCAAATGGAAGAAGCACACCAGTCTGTGTGATCATGAGGTGCTGATGGGATCAGGTATCAGGCATCAAAGACTCAGAACAAATGAGAAGAGCTAAGTGGAGACCCAAAGCCCATCGGCAGACAACTGGACATCCCCTTACAGAAGGGTCACGGGGAGGAGACGAGCTAGTCAGGGTGCTCATGACCCCAATTTGACCTTACAAATCCGGCTAGACCAGAGCATGTACACTGGTATAGATAAGAGTTAGAAATGCAGGGAATCCAGGGCAGATAAACCCCTCCGGACCAATAATGGGAGTAATATTGCAAGGAGGTTAAGGGTAAGGTGGGGCAGAAAAGGGGAACTGATCACAAGGATCTACATATAACCCCCCTCTCAGGGGGATGGTCAACAGAAAAGTGGGTGAAGGGAGACATTGGTCAGTATAAGACATGAAAAAATAGTAATTTATAAATTATCAAGGGTTCATGAGGGAGTGAGGGAAAAAAATGAGGAGCTGATACCAAAGGCTCAAGTAGAAAGAAAATGTTTTGAAAATGATGATGGCAGCAAATGTACAAATGTGCTGACCCAATGTGTATATATATGGATTGTGATAAGAGCTGTACGAGCCCCCAATAAAATGATTTTTTAAAAAACTCAATTGCATTTGGAAGGCTAAGAGAAAGGGTTAGCCCTTCTAACCCAAACAAAATAAAACAGCTCAACTACAGTGATATTGAGTCTGACTCAGAGACCAGATATAGGGTTTCCAAGAATATAAATCTTTACAGGAGTGGACAAACTCATCTTTCTCCCACAGAGTGACTGATAGGTCTTGGTGACAGCAGTCCATCACCGAACCCACAGGGCCAGCAGGAGTCTAAGAGAAAAGGTTGCATGGAGTGTTTTCACTGTTCATAATCATATTCCAGTCCTCGTCCTCTTCCCACTGACTTACAAAACCAAACTCCCTGCCTCTGAGTTCACACTGACTCATAAGGGCGCTGTAAGACACGGCAAAACTGCCCTATGGGTTTCCAAGACTGTATGAGAGTAGGTAGCTACCTACATCTTTCTCCTACAGAGAGGCTGGTAGATTTGAACTGCTGGCCTTGCGATTTAACAGCCCAATTTGCCACCCACTCTGCCACCAGGGCTCCTGCTTATATGTATACACACACCCATACCCCCACAAGGGTGTTTCAAAAAGTTTGTGGAAAAATGGAATTAACTTACCCCAGCACATGAACGGTTTGTTCTAATAATGTGACACTGTATGATACTCAGTGTGATAGGTAGGTTTATTGTGCCAACCTAACCAATGAACATATGTGGGATTAATTGAAGGGCGGAGAGATAAATGGCTCCACCGGCCTCGCCTTTCTGGTCTCTTGCTCTTTGATGATCAGACCAGTGTGTAAGCAGCCTTAGCTGGTTCTCTGCCTCAACTTGTGAGCTACACTACCTGTGGGACACTCAAGGCGTGGACCGTGTCGCTGTAGTTTGCGGTTCTTTCAAGACCTGCTTTGCCACACTACTGGAGTATATATACATTGCTTGAGCTGGGGACCATCAGACTCTGTCATCTGGCTGACTGTTGGTGACCTGTTTTGCTGTTTGCTGCCTGTGGACGGGTTGCCTGAATTGCTTTACAGAGGATTCAGCTGTCTCCTTCTTTGACTTGTACCCAGAAGCCCTCAAGACTTGAAGGACTACCAGTGTGTTAACTGTCTCACAGAAATTAATTGCACTGAGCCATTTGTACTGCTCTATAGACTAATTAGCTATTTATTTCTTATGTTGTATATATCTATCTATATAAATAAATATATATAAAATCATAAGTGTCCTGGTTTTGTTTCTCAAGAGAACCCTAACACACTCACTTTCCTGACATGATTTCTGATGACAAAATGGGTGCATAAACAAATGTGGTGCCCAGCTATTCAAAGCTATAGCATCTGGGGTCTTTTTTAAAATTTATTTTTGTTAATTATTTTATTGGGTAGGGGTGGGGGCTCTTAAAAATCTTATAAACCATCATTCAATTGTATTAAGCACACTTGTACATATGTTTTCATCAACATTTCCAAAACATTTTCTTTCTACTTGAGCCCATGGTATCAGCTCCCTTTTTCTCCAACCCCCCCCCACCCTTGTGATTCCTTAAATAATATATTATGTCATGTCTTACACTGTCCATTGTCTCCCTTTTCCGTTATTTGTCCCCTTGCGGGGTAGGCTATATATCCAACCTTGTGATTCATCCCTCCTCTCCCACCATCCCACTACCCTCGATACCCCACCCCCCACCAACCTCCTACCCTCATGATAGCACTACTCCCACCACTGTTCCTGAGGGTTTTATCTGTCCTGAATGCCATGTGTCAAGAGCTCTTATCTGTACCAGTATGTGTACTCCAGTCTAGCCAGATTTGTAAGGTAGAACTGGGTCTGGTAGTGGGTGTGGGGGGAGGGAGGAAGCATTCAGGAACTAGAGGAATGATGTGTTTCGGCGGTGCTATACTGCACCCTGGTGGAATTGTCCCTTCCTTGTAACCCTTCTGTGGGGGGATGTCCAATTGTCTATAGATGAGCTTTGGGTCTCCACTCCCACCCCCTTCACATCATTATAATTATTTTGGATTTTTTGATGCCTGATACCTGATCCCATCGACACCTCATGATCATACAGGCTGGTATGCTTCTTCCATGTGAGCTTTATTTGCTTTCCTGCTAGAAGGCTGCTTGTTTTCAAACTGTGGCATTTACATAATCTCCTCTCAGTTTATGAAAGGGTGGAGTCTAGCCTGTCAATCAGGTTGCAACTTGATGACCTCATTTGGAGGTACAACAGAGATATATAGCTGACTGGAAGCCAGATACACAGCCTTCTCCCTGTGAGACATTCCTGTTGACAAGCCACATGGAGCTACACTGATAGAGCTAGAGTCCTGGAGCTGGAGGAGCCACATGGAGACCCATGCCAGCGCTGAGATGCTTCCACCACTACCAGATCCACAACTTTCCACCCACTGGCTTACGATCTTCCTGCATTCGGCATCATTGCATGTGTTGCATGAGTCTGAAGAGGAATTTATAGACTGTTATTGGACATATGGGCTAATATTGGACTTATGGCCTTGATCTGGACTAGGATGTTTTCTTATATCAAGCTCTTTCTTATATACATCTGAATGTCTCTGGATTTGCTTCTCTAGTCAGCCCAGACCAACACACAAGCCTTAAGCGATCATCTGGGGTCTTAAAGGCTTATAAGTAAACAAACAGGGAAACAACAAAGCTCACATGGAAGAAGCACACCAGCCTGTGAGATCATGAGTGTCCACAAGAAGAGGTATCAGAAGTTCAGAAACAAGCAACCAAATTGATGTGAAGGGTTATGGATGTAGTAGAGACCAACCCACCAGTAAGATAATTGGATAGTCCCTCTCAAAAGGGCCACACAGAAGGGGTGATAAATCCAGGGTATGGTATGGCACTGAAGAGGCACATAACTATCCTCTAGTTACTATTTCTTCCCCTTACTAATATGGTTTTTGCTTTACCTCATTAATCATGTTATATTTGCTTTATGTTTATTTAGATATTTAAAATCATTCAGTACATGAAAGTCAAACTAGATAACCCATCAGAAACAGTAACAGGAGTAGTGGTTCCCTGAGGGGGATGGGGAGCTGACAGCATAGCTGACTGTAGAATCCCACTCCATGGGACCAAACAACAGAACTGTATGTGAATGGTTAGACTGGATTGTGTAAGATATGGCAACAACAAGCTACTATAAAAAGAAAAATGGAATGAAAGAATAATGGCGTGTATATATAGTTGTTAGGTACCCGTGAGCCAGTTCACATGCATGGTGACTTCATGTACAACAGGAAGAAATGGTGCCAGGTCCCGGGCCACCTTCACGATTGCTGCTGTTTGAGGGCAGTGTTCCAGGCACTGGGCAAATATATGTTCATACACTAAATTCTTTTTGGAAATGGACAGGCTGTTAAAAAGCCTAACATCTCCCCAGTGTGGAACTCAAATGTTCTGTAAACCACGTTTTGTCCAATAACTCGATGCTGTGCTCAGCTGGTATGCCTGTACTAAGGCTCTTCTGTCTGTAGCACCCTTCTTTCTGGTTTGGTTTTCCATTAAAGGTTGAACTCTTGTCACTGCTACCAAGAAGCCCTTTCCCACTACTTAGTTTACAGGCATCTTTCTTCTCCCAAGAACATCTGTAGCATTGATTCAACAGGCCATTAACGATATTGAAACGTACCTCACACAAGTTTGCTTTAATGTACAAGTCGGTCTCTAACTAATCACACCTACTGTTGGACCCTTCGTCACAAATATTTAACAACTGGGCAGCCTTTTGAGAACAGTTCAGGTCAAGAGTCTGATATGAGTTTGTATTTCTGGAAAACAGGGATATACCAGTAGAATAGGGCTCAGGGGTCCTCACCCTTTATAAATCTGATTGAATGGAGAGAAGTAAACTCCAGTAGTTTGTTCCCATCCAGCCTGCTCAGATCCTGATCCAGCTCCTCTTTAGGGGCTCAGGGTGTTCCTCGAGTTTTCTTGCTTCCACCCAGGCAAGGGGGGCTCTTGTCCAGTTCAGGGTTATCCCTCCACTGGGCGGGGGTACGTGCCTGGATGGCCAGTGCGTGCACTTGTCCCGCCAGCTCCTCCGACAGCGCTTCATGGACTAGCCGGTGTCGCTGCAAAGGACTCAGCCCCTCGAAGCGAGAGCTCACCACAGCCACGCGAAAATGCGTCTCGCTGCCCGGTGGGACTGCGTGGCCAGCGCTCTCATTGCGCAGTTCCAGGACCTCGGGGCTCAAGGCCTGCTCCAGTTTGGCGCGAATGGCAGCTTCCACAGGACCGACGGTTCCCGATCCTGGGCCGCTCAGGGGCAAACCGACGCGGCCGGCCATGGAGACCAGGCGCCCGACCAGCCGCCCACGCAGCATCAGCTACAGCAGGGACAGACACACAAGTTGTAAGGGTTGGGGGCTCTTGCCCGGTCCGAGCCCAATCTCCCCAAGTCCCTTCCACTCCCGCAGGCCTCGAGCACCTCGGAGCACCCCTCCCCGCTCCCGCCGGGGCACGCTCCTGGGGGAGATGAGTCCTCCGGCCCCGCGGAGTGGAGAGGTTGTTCCAGAGGCCACGCTGAGGGCGCGTCCATCACTACGGGGATTTGCAGAGAACGGGCAGGAAGGTGTAAAAGTAAGACACGTGCATATCCGGTCTTTTGGTTGACTGTGCCCCGTGGCCCCTCTGAACCCCGGTTGAGCCCTTTCTACCTGCCGTTCGGCCCGGTTTACCGCAGATCCCCGGTCGGAGCCCGGACTCCCGCAGGCCGCCCTCTGGAAAACGGAGGCCTCTCGTCCCGAGGCCAGCTGGGAAACGGAGTCCTCGTTTCCCGACTGGTAACGCGCAGACGCCACGTGATGCCCTGAGGCCTCCTGGGAATTGTAGTCCGTGGCAGCTCGTCAAAGAGAGTCCAGTTGTCAGGAATGCAGACACACCGGGATTTCCTGGACAACTGGGATTGAAACTAGTCAATCCATTTTACTGCCAAAGGATAATGTAGATAACCTAGCCCAAGTCCTTTATGTTTTTGTTTGACAGGCTAGAAGGCGCTCCATTTGCTGACTACATAATTATTGTCTATCTGACCAATAGCCGGAGGCTTTCGAATAGACAGGCTTTAACCTCCAAGGGAGAAAGATGAGGCTTTCTGCTCCCATAAAGATTTACAGCCTCAGAAACCGCTATAGGACTCCTCTGAGTCGGAATAGGAGCCATGGTGACATCGTGGTGTATGTGTGTCCTTCTGACCTCAAGTTCCGCAGCCACTCCTCCGAGAAAGGCGAGGAGGCTTTCTGCTCCCTCGACGTTTGCCCCAGACCCACAGAGGCCGTTTTACCCGGCTTTATAGGGTTGTTACGAGTCAAAATTGACTGGAGAGCAGCGCATTTTTTGTTTCTCGAGTTTATGAGTTGGAATCAACTCAATGGCCATTGATTTGTTTATTTTATTTAACTTCAGAGGTCGTGAGAGTTAGGTGTTGAACTGCTAACTGCAAAAAATGGTGTTCAAATCCACAGTTTCTCCTCTGTAGAAAGATGAGGCTGTTGCTCTCCATAAAGACTTGGTCTCAGTTACCCTATGGAGCAGTTCTCTGTCCTGCAAGGTTGCTATGAGTGGATGGAACTTAAAGGAATTTATAGAACATTGGGAAAACCTGCCGTGCTTTGTGAAGGATTAATGCATTTGAATTATGGTGTTGTCGAACAATAGTGAAAGTACTGTGGACTACCAAGAACAACAACAACAACAAAATCTATCTTGGAATATGAAGGACTAGTTTCTGGTGAAGGAAAAGGTGCTTGGTAGAGGGTTTGTGAAAGAGAAGATTCACGTCAAGAATATTGACACAGGCTGCAACAATGGGCTCAAACATAGGAACGATTGTAAGGATGGGGCAGGATAGGGCAGTGTTTCCTTTTGTTGTACATGGAGTATCTGTATTGGGTACATAGGGCATCTCTCCCTCCTATCGCCGGTAGCACCTAGCATTGCTGATTGTTCGATAACTTATCCATCTCTTCCAATGTTCTATAAATTCCTTGATGTTCCATTCACTGCTGTTGAATTGATTCTGACTCATAGTAACCTTTCAAGACAGAGTAGGACTGCTCCACAGGGTTTCTGAGACTAAATTGTAGTATTAAATTAAAAGTGGCACGGAGGGAGGTGGGGGCGGCCAGCCCCCACCGCTAATCGCGGGTTCAGTAATACTACTTCTGGGTTCAGTAATGCACAATTGTACGGTTGAGATATATAAGTATTATATTAGAGTCATAGAGAGCATGAGATATTACAATAATACAGTCAGACACATTACAGGGTAGCATTGCTCACCTCAGCCCAGCTTGGTGGTCCACGTGGAGAGAGGGGGAAGGGAAGGAGGGCAAGGGAACAAGGGAGAGGGGAGTGACCAGGGAGTGAGCAGCAAGGAGCTCAGAGTCAGAGAGAGCTCTATATTGCTGACTCACACCTATATACTTTTTGGGGGCATGCCAGCGCAGTAATTACAGATAGAGACATATGTCATAGGGAGGAGCTGCACTATAGATTACACAGCAATGAGAGGGTGGTCTAGAGGGTGGTCTCTGGGTCTCCATAGGAACATTATCAGTAGGGTGCAAACTCCGCCTACAGGAGCCTGTCCATTGTCCCCAGAGGCGGGGAGCAGGCTCACCCCTGTGGAGGGATGAGACAGCAGTCTGGCAACTGATTGCCTTCAG